CTCTCTCTCTCTCACTCACTCACTCACTCACTCACTCACTATTACATTAGTAAAATTTGTAAAACAATAATCTCTTACAATATTTGGTGATCATTGATCTTTGCATTAAAATCGTTGAGTTTAAATAATAACATATGTATAACATGTGTATAAATAGTGTAGACACTGACCAAACCTCGAATGCCTTCCAACACATTGTTTCCGTTGGCTTTGCCTGTATTTCTGGTCGACGACCCATTGTTAACACTAATTGACTCAAAATAGTTAGTGATTGGAGAAAAACAATTTAATATTTTATCCCATGTTTTATCGCTTTGATTTTGTTTGGAGTAGTGTTGGGCTAATAAGTGTTTAATTGTGGCCCAAAACACAATTATCATCCATACAACTAGAATAGCTATAAATATGTTTAAATCTAACATTGTTTCACCTATAGTAAATGAACATGTATATTTAACTGCAAGTTTAAACATTGCAATTTCCCTTTTTATAAGATTACATATTAAGTAATGAATTTGAAATTTCCAAATTAATCAACTGTTTTATATTGAGGTAAACATGAATTACATAAAATTATTTAGTTTTAATCAGTAATACTTTGTCAAGAATTAATAGTTTAATTGTTTTGTCATTTTTAAAGAATGATTAGTAATCATTGATTACGTTTTATGTTACAACTAAACTGTCAAACATAACTCTTAACCAGGTAGTTTACTTTTATTATTTCAATAGAATTATATTTTAATTGATATCAAATTAAACTTTATTTGAATCACTATCAACAAAAGCTGTTTTACATAGAAATTAATATAAAAACTTTATAATTTAAAATTAAATATAAAAATTAAATATCAATATGTTTGAACAAAAGTTATAATCAGTTTATCGTCTTTAAGTCTCGCTTTGAAATTCTTAATTGCATTCTCGGACCTGATTTCAAATGGAATAGAATTCTCCTACACTTTCGGCCGCATATATAACGGTATAACACGATAGCAATGATGCGAACAATTCTGTTGAACACCTCTAAGTTTATGAACAATAGATAATGTTATGTCTATAAATAATGTTAAATCTATAACATAAAAATTAATATGGGAAATGCTAAGAAATTCTAAGTCTATAAAATTTTTCTATAGTAAAACAGTATAAAACTTACTAAATTAAATATTAATAATTAATATCAAATATTTAATTAACAATTTTATTAAATAACGTTTTTGTAATTACTTCAAATTTACTAATTGCTAACAATATTATATTTTAGATAATTGTTTAATACGAGATACAACGGGTAGTCAACAGTTCCTGGAGTACAGACTCGTCGGCCATTGTGGACGTGTCGCCAAATTTGTGGTCATTTTGGGCCACTTTAGTCAATATCCTTCGCATAATTTTACCCGATTTAGTCTTCGGGAGAGCACTGATCGCATAAATCACGTCCGGAACGGCCAGAGCTCCGATTTTGTTACGAACTTTTAAAGAGATAATATAAAAATTGATTATAATTCAAATCCAATCTTTAGAAAAATATTGTTCGTGAATAAAATACCTCTGCGTTTGATATCCATCTCTAAATCGGCGGTCATTTCAAAGCCATTATTGAGGACAACAAACACGTGAATGCACTGGCCTTTGATGGGATGCGGGGCCGAAACGGCTGCCGCCTCTGCGACGGCTCTGTGCTCGACAACAGCCGTCTCGACCTCTACTGTAGACAACAGATGTCCGGAAACATTGAGAGTGTCGTCATTCCGACCGGTCATCCAATAGTAGCCGTCGGCGTCGCGTTGGACGCCATCGCCGGTACAGTAATAGCCCCTAAACTTATGAAAGTAAGTCA